CACCCAGGACCTCCTGTGGCCATCCCAGAGGACAGAGCTTTCTGCTTCGCCTGGAAGGCTGCACCTAGTCAAGGAAGGAGTCTGCGAGAGGCAGCAGGTGTCCAGGCCCCAGGGTCCCAGGGGGCCAGCTGACAGGGGGACGTGAGCACCCTAGGAGGTGGTAAGGGCTGGGCTGCTTTTCAAAGAAAAACAATGATATATTATGTGTATAGGGAGAGAGCACAGCCAGGCCCTCTCCTGCTGCTTCAAGGATCTGGGTGGGAAGGGAGAAGCTGTGCCAGAACTGCTGCTGGCCTGGGGTGGTGGCACTGCAGACAGGAGCTCCACCTGCTATGCCCCACCTGGCCCTGGGCTGCCTTCTAAGACGGCCCTGCAGGTGGGTGTGGCTTGTGACCTGGGGTCACGGGGGAGGGATAGGCAGAGGTCACAGACCTTCCCGCTCCAGCGTCTCCCCGTCTCTCATGTCCTGTTTCAATAACATTCCAAGAACAAAAGAGTGTCGCTTTGAAGGCGCGCCAAATCGTCCACCTTACCAGAAGGCTTTGCAACCCAAGATTTGACCCTCACCCAACCCCTCGGAGTGCCTGTGCTCCGCCCACCACCACGTTCCTGTGTGCCCTGCACAGGAAGCAGGGTGCTGACCACTCAGAACACACAGCCCAAGCCTGGGGGGAGCTGGCTCAGGCCGGCCCACCAGGAGCTGCTTCTTCACACTGGCCCTCTGCACAGCCGCAGGGACACTGGGGGTGTGAGAGTTGATCAGACCACCCTACAGGAGCCACCGGAACGGATAAATACACGGCCAAGTATAAGCGATCAGCCCCAGTGTGCTCACATGTGTACACACACACCCCGAGGCATCACGGCCAAGTCCAGGCGACCAGCCCCAACACACCCCCGACTCCCCATACCATCTATCAACTGGTCAGAGCCTCAGTAACTAAAATGTTTTACAGCAAGTCCCAGTGGACATGAGGTCAGGTTGCACTGCCTGTTTGACATCCTTAAGAGCGAGGGTGGGAGGCGCAGCCTCAGGCGGAAATCACTACAGATTTCCAAAGGGGCACCAGCAGCCCAGCCTCAGTGTGCTCAGGTGCAGTCACCCCCGTGGCCGGACCAACCCATGGGCACCATGGGCACTGTGTGCACCGCGTGTCCACCTCAGCCGGCCAGCTTTCCCCGAGGGGTAGCCAGCTTTGCCCTCACCTGCGAGAGGGCTCAAATTCACCTGGCAGTTGGATCCCAGTCCGTGTGTGTCCTCTGTCCCCGGAGCCGGCCTCCCAGAACACTACCACTGGGCCCACCTGCTCCAAACGTGGGTTGGCACTGACGGAGTTGGAGAGCCATCCTACCTGGCTGCCGTGCTGGCTGTCCCCTGTGTACTCGTGGTCCTGTGGCCTGGGGACGCGGGAGGTGGGCCGCACACCCAGCCATGGAGCCCTGCTTCCCAGTCAGCACCACCTCCGGAAGCCACGCTGCACTTCCGGGCCTCCTGGGTTCAGCTGTTGCCTCGTTCTGGGCCTCCTCGGTTCAGCTGTTGCCTCGTTCCGGGCTGGCTGCAGGCACAGGTGAGCGCCAGTTCGCAGGGAGGTTGTCTCCTCTCCATTGCAGTCCTTGCAGCCTCCAGCGAGCTTCTCTGCCAAGGCCTGCCACTCTTCTGGCCATCCAGGGGCACCCATGGGTTCCTGATTCCCCGCCCCACCCACTGGCCTCTGCCTTTGCTCTGGGTTTGCCCGCTGCCACCCCAGGCCCAGCAGAACTTTATCCAGTGTATACCATGTGGCCTGAAGACGTGGGGGAAGGAGATGAGCCCAACGGGAGTGCTGCATGGTGAACGCAGGTTGTCCTGAGCCGCTAAGGTTTGGGGAAGGCTGTTACACAACAAGGGATAAGAGACACATTGGCTGTGGCCACCTGCTTCCCACTCCCCCTTCCGTCCTCTCTCACTTGCTTGTTTGTAGGGCAATGGTGGACACAGTCTTCAGCTCTAACATTTTTGCCATATTTATTTTTAGAAAAACTTTTATTTGGAAGTGAGAGTTATGGTGATGGGGAGAGGGAGGGTTTGGAGAAAAAAAGCTCTTCCATCTACTGGTTTACTCTGCAACTGGCTGCAGCGGCTGGGCTGGGCCATGCTGAAGCCGGCGGCGCACGAGCTTCTGCCGATTCTTCTGTACAGGCGGCTGGGGCCCAAGGACTTCAGCCATTTTCTGCTGCTTTTTCCAGGCACATTAGCAGGAAGCTGGGTTGAAATTAGAGCAGCCTGCACAGGAAGCGACACCCATCTGTAGGCGCAGCTTCACTCACCAGGCCCTACCATGTTTACTTACTGGTGATTTACTGAGATATAATTCACATGTGTGATAATTAACTGATACTTCCGAAACCGACATACCGTCACCATTTGAGAATGGTAAAATATGGGTTAGTGGCAGTCCCTGCACTCTTGGGGGCCAGTGCTATGGCACAGTGGGTCAGGCAATGCCTGCGACTTCAGCGTCCGAGTCCTGGCTGCTTTGCTTGCCAGCCAGCTCTCTGCTACGGCAGCTGGGAGGGCAGCGGATAATGGCCCACGTGCTTGGGTCCCTGCTGCCCCCGGGGGAGAGCAGGATGGAGCTCCAGCCCCCCGATCCACGTCCAGCCCCCCGACCCACGTCCAGCCCTTGTGGAAGTTTGGGGAGTGAACTAGCAGATTTCTTTTTCTTTCCCCTGCCTGTGTTATCTTGCATTTCAAATAAATATTTTAAATAATGTACTCACAATGTTGTATGCATATCATCCTTTATATGATTCCAGAACATTCTGTCCCACAAATGGACGCCTCATATCAATGGCTAAACTTGCTTTGGAAGATTAATTTTGTTTCATGCCTCAAATCTGTAGTAACAAAGACTGGCTCAAAATCAAATAAAACCTTTAAAGACACAAAAATTCAGAAAAAAATGAGCATTTCCAATGACAACATTTGAAATTTATCATCTGATAACAGAAAATCTATTGGGACATACTCTATTATAGACAAAATACCAAGTAGTCATTTGTTGAAAATTATTATTTTTTAATTAAAAAGGTTTTATTTTTATTGGAAAGGCAGATTTACTGAGAGAAGGAGAGATAGAGAAAGATCTTCCATCTGCTGGTTTACTCCCCAAATGGCTTCGGTGACCGGAGCTGAGCCTATTTGAAGCCAGGAGTCAGAGCTTCTTTCAAGTCTCCATGTGAGTGCAGAGGCCCAAGGGCTTGAGCCATCTTTGGCTGCTTTCCCAGGCAATTAGCAGGGAATTGGATGGAAATTAGAGCAGCTGGGCACAAACCCGGTGCCCATATGGGATGCCAGCACTATATAGGTGGAAGTGTAGCCTGCTAGACCACTGCACAGCGCCTGGGAATTGGCTTTTCAAACTCTCCAGAATTTCTCCGCGGTGTGCAATTCAGGAGCTAGAACTGAGTCAGCTGCTGGGCATGGCAGGTGCACACACAGCCAGGAGTCATGCAGTGTGGCTGGCAGACTGTAAGGTGTTCCCTGCAGCCTGGGTGGCAGAGATGTGCAAGGTGCCCTGGGCTCGGCTGGCATGTCTGGCATCTGCTAGCTGTGGCACAGAGGCAGTGGCAAGTAGGGGGTTGACTGCCATCCCAGGAGCTGGGTGGAGGTGGGTGAAAGGCCTCATGATTCTAGCTCCGCTTCCTTCTCACAGGCTGACACCATGATCCAGGTTAGCAGCAGCCAGAAGAGATGGTCACGCCAGGACTTCATTTCTGTGTGGCTCTGGCTCCCAGTGTCCCATGGAGAATGAAGCAGAGACCATGAGCAGGAGAGCAGCAGGCAGTGACTGCCCCCTCATCCCCAAAATCATTCATCTCTCCAGGCAGGGTCTTGGGGCCTGAACCCAGGCACCCCGTTCCTTGAGGGAACAGCAAGGGCAGTGTCCTGGTATGCAGCTTTCTCACGCACTCATCTCTCTACCCACTGGCTTACTTGGGAAGAAAAGCACTGGTGCTTTCCACGGATCAGGCACCCTAACCCTGACCTTGACCCCAACCCCAACCCCAACCCCTAGCCCTAACCCCAGCCCCAACCCTAACCCCTGACTCTGACCCTGACCCTAACCCTAACCCCAACCCCAACCCCTAGCCCTAACCCCAACCCTAACCCGTAGTCCTAACCCCTAACCCCAACCCTAACCCTAACCTAGTCCGACACAGGAAGCAAAAGCTGCAGTGGGCTGAGGGAGACCAGAATAAAGGCGTTGGCACGGCTCTTGCCCAGGTCTGGGCCTCTTGCTTGGGACTTAGTCTGGGCTGATATGCATCAGAAGGATGTTGGGCAGAGGGCTGAGAAAGGGATGTGGGGGCCAAAATGGGCACTCCAAACCAGAGCCTCCACACGGCGGCATCTCCGGCGCTGGCCACCTCCTTCATCATGTATCATCACAGGACAAGGTGCTCCCTGCCTGGGCCACTCCCTGGGCTGGGGGAACAAGACAGAGGCCCGCCACTGTGTGCCACAACGGACCTGAGGAGAGCCCGGCCCGCAGTCCCTCCCAGCCATCGTGGTGTCTGCATGGGGAACTCGGTTGTTTGTGCCTTGGTGTGAGGTGGCAAGGAAGCAGGCCCGGTTCATCAGCTGGGTACTATAATGGGTACAGGGAGGGGGACCCAAGTGGTCTGGCAGGCAGAGGTCTGGGGACAGAGGGGTGGGTGGCAGAATATTAGAAACAATGCTTGGGTGCAGGCCTGGGGACATGCAGACCATCACAGGAAGGGGTTCACCCAGTGAGGGGAGTGAGCGGGGAGAGGGGGGAGTGAGCAGGGAGAGGGGGCAGTGAGTGGGGAGAGAGGGCAGTGAGTGGGGAGAGAGGGCAGTGGGGAGGGGGAGGTGAGTGAGGAGAGGGGGCAGTGAGTGGGGAGGGAGGCAGTGGGGAGAGGGGGCAGTGGGGAAGTCCAGTGTCTGGCCCAGGGGCAGAAGCACAGGTAGCCCTCTCCTGGGACTTGAAGAGGAGCCCCTCTTCCACCTGTGGATTTCCAGCCGACCCCAGCATGGGGCGGGGCACAGCCCCAGCCAGGAGCACCTGTCCCGGGGCACATTTGGACACCTGGGTGGTCGGGAGCTAGGTTAGCCGGGGAAAGCTGGGGTAGGAGAGTGAATGCTTGAAGGCTGGGGTCTCTCGGATGACCGGACACCCTACAGCCAGGGCCCCCAGGCACCGGTGGCCTCGGGGTCACAGCGGGGGTCCTGGTCCGGGAAGAACACGGGCACTGAGCGTTGCTGGTAGAAACGCAAGCGCGAGAGCAGCCTGGCCACAACGTGGGGGTGCTCCTGGGACAGGTCGTGTCTCTCCTCTGGGTCCTGAGTGATGTTGAAGAGCCACAAGGTCTTCGTCAGGGGATCCGAGGAGGGAATCTCAGCAATGCCGTGTGTGGATGGCGGAGGGAACCAGGAGCCACAGCCTGGCAGGGAAACGGTACAGTTGATCCAGGGCATGGCGGGTGGGGCCCGATTCCAGGGAGGGGTGGGGGACCAGGTTGGGAAGTGGGCGTGGACTTGTGAAGGCAGGTCGTCCCCCAAGCTGCTCTAGTCGCCCCCCATGCCTCTGGCAGGTGCTTGAGACCCGTCTTGCAGCTTCATCACCAGGGCATCAGGAACGTACGTGTGTGCATGCATGTGCTGACAGAGACCTCTAACTGTCACAATGACCAGGCACCAGTGTGATGCAGAGATGCCCTACAACGCATGGGACGGTCCCAAAGTGTCTGGCTCAGCTGTCAGCAAGTGAGGGGCATCTGCCTCACAGCCGGAACCGTCATAGCCCATGTTTGCAAGTACTGGAAGGATGCTGTTTCATGGCTCTGGTCCAGGCAGCAAGCCCCCGGCACCTGAGTTGTGGCTGGCTGGACACAGGTAAAGAACAGCCACCCAGCAGACAGGGCAGCAGCATACACTCCTGGCCCCGTGACACTGAGTTCCTGGTTTTTAATTTTAGCTGGGAAGGGCCAGTGACTATACCAGCCTTCACCTGCTCCTTCAGTCCTACCTGCATGTGAGAAGCCCATCCTGGTGGCCGCACGGAGGAAGCTGCTGGGTGGCTGGGAACCAGCTGGGTCTTATAGTACAATGTCAGACACAGCAGGCAGAAGGCACTGGTGACCCTGGAGCACTGGGCGGGTCAGGGAGGGACTGAGGAGGATGGCAGTGGATGTAGCAGGAGTTTGGGGTCCGCCCTTTCCAGGAAATGGCCCAGGAATACTACCCCAGGCCAGGCCTGCCTGTGCGGGGACAAGCAGGTGTTGCAAGCAGGGCGCCTCTGACCTGGGAAGCCTGTGAGCAGTTTCCAGTTCCCGTGTCTGATGGCTGCGTGGATGGACGTGTTAAAGGATGAATGTTCCGGAAGAGAGGACTTGGCCTGCACTGGAGTCGCGCCTTCCTGGGGACCTAGGACAAGCATTTAGAAACACCGCGTAAGCTTTGGGGTTCTTCCTGGACCAGGAGCTTCTTGTCCTTAAGGCCAGCATGCAAACATGGGTCCTGCCTCAGAATGATTCTCTCACTCAGCACAAACCAAGAGCTGCTGGTAGACCAGACGTCCATCACTCACTCACTCACTCACTCTCTCTCACACACACACACCAGCTGCAGGTAAACCAGATGTCCAACACACACACACACACACACACACACACACACACACACACACACACACACACACAGGACAGCTGCATCCTGAAGAGCAGTGAGGACATGGCCTGGGGCTTATGACATCACACACACATAGAGTCAGACACAGACAGACACACACTCGCACAGGACAGCTGCATCCTACAAAGAAGTGAGGACATGGCCCAAGGCTAGGTGACCAAGGAGTCATCCCCCACCCAGCCCATGCTGCAGGTGGCTCATGCATGCGGAGCTGAAAGTGTGAGCTTGAGGCTTGGCTCCAGCACTTGCTGGCCTGGTGCCCACAGGGCAAGCTGACCTCACTAGGCCTCATTTCCTAAATCTGCAAAGTGAGCGTCATCTGTCTCCTTACAGTACCGTGTGGCTCAGATGTGACGATGCCAGGGACATACTGGATCTGCAGAGAAGGCAAGCTACATGGCAACTTTACTTTGGTGAAAAAAAAAAAAAAAGAATGAAATCTACTTGTGGTTTCTTTATAATACACATCTCCCTGACTTTCTGAAGACCCCTCGTAGGCAACGATTTCCAGGTTTTTTTTACACCCCAGTAAAACTTCCATTTTTCTTTATAAGATTTACTTATCTACAAAGTTACAGAGAGAGGGAGGGACAGAAAGAGATGAGATCTTCCATTCAGTGGTTCGCTCTCAAAATGCTGTCATGTTAGGACTGGGCTGAGCTGAAGCTAGGAGCTTTGCACCTCTACCTGGGTCTCCCGTGTGGGTGTCGGAGCCCAAGCCTCAGATGATCCTCCACTGCTTTCCCAGGTACAGGGAGCTGGGACGCAAGGAGAGCAGCTGGGACTTGAACTGACTTTCGCACTGCAGGTAGTGGGTTAACTTGCTGTGCCATAACGCCCAACCACAGATGGCTTGGAATTCCATTTGCTACCAGCTCTGATGTTCTTTCACACAGCACTGAGCTGCCTAAGACGACCACCAGTATTACAGCCAGTATTACTGGCTAATGATGGTCAGTTCTCACTGCACACTTTGGGACATCAGGCACTGCTTCCAGCGTTGCCTGTGAGGGAGCCTGCTCACCCCGTGACACGTCCTGGGACAGTGTACTGCACGGTGGCAGTTGCCACCGAACACTGTCATCAAGACCATCCTGTTTATCTTTCACATCCTCTTCCACCCAAGACCTTCCAGAGAGCGGGAAAGAGGCACAAGTCGCATAAGAGCAAATCAATGCCCAAGAGCACATCACTCCCCACCAGACACACCCAGGCTCCCCTCTCTGACCTGGGTCCTACAGACCTCCTAAGGGGAGTCTGTTGAAGTCAAATGCAGCTCAGAATGTGTGCTGAAGCTGGATGGTCACTCAACATGGGACTGGTTGGCCACCTGTACCCAGCTCAAGCTAGCAACAGGTCCAGCACCCTACACTCAGAAGGGAGCTCATAGCGCTGAGCTGAGCCCACTGTCCAGGTCTGGAGGTTTCCACATCCCATGGTCTCAGCAAGTATGGGTGGATACGCAGCCCAGGCCACTGGTGCTTGCTGTGTGCAAAGGACTCATTTCCAGATGCCAGTGTGTACAGCATGGCCCATGATTGTGGGTCTAGAGAAGGAAGACTTTCTGTACAAACTGCCTTCTGCCAGTCTGGACACCCATGCTTGGCTTAACTGTGGCCAAGGGACAAGCCCTGGCAACCGACCATGTGGCTCCAAAAGTAGGGACAGACAGAGCCATTAGCATCGGTGCCAGTGTGTCCCATCTGCTACTCCTGAGTGTGGAAGGGGAACTCAGAAGTCACAGGAGCCCAGGGGACCACCTGGAGTTTCCACCTGCCTCGCTGATGAGGAGGCGAGGAGGGCAGACCCCAGTTGGGTCACATGAGCTGTACACTGGGTACAGCCCTCAAAGCCAAGGTGCAACTGCCCTGCCTTGTTCAATCCCACTGCCACGAGAAAGAGGCATCGCTAGAAAGTTCTTCCTGCCCAACACAGGACTAACTAGGCTGAAAACTGTGTGAGACAGAACAGGGATGCCCATTCCTGACTTTGCCCTGCAGTTACCACTACACCTCACTGTGGCTCAGGCCCCAACCCTCCTGCCACCATCAGCAGCGTTTGCTGTGTCTGTGATGCTCTATACAGAGCAATGGCCTGGGACACCTGGCAGAGCACTCACAGCCAGACTGTGGCCACTCCATGGATGTCAGCTGTGGTTCCCAAACATCCTCATGTGTGCTCTCCTCCACCCAGCCCTCCCCACGGGTGCCCAGGAGAGTCTTCACTCTGTGGCTTTGAAGACAAAGCTCCTTCCCAGTGCAGCACTTGGTAGCAGCCAGAAAACCAGCAGTTCCCACTCTCATCTGTATTTTGATTAACATTGACTTTGAGCTAAATGGGACATGCATGAGTGCAGATGCCCTCAGCGGCTCTTGGGCATCAGGGTCTAGCCAGGAGTAGGGGGCAGCAGAGACAGCTGGCAGGAACTGGAGGGTCACACAGACAGTGACGGACTGGCCTCCACAGGGGTGTGATGGGGGTTTAGGGCTCTGAGAACCCAGGGGGCCTGGACTGATCAGGAAAGAGAAGACCCCTCAGAAGAAATGGTGATCTGGGGAGGCTGTGTGGGCCTGAGAAGGGAGATGGGCTAAGCGGAGGGGAGGAGACAGAAAGGTCCCAGAGACGCCAGACATCGCCATGTCCCTGGTCTACGTGCAGCCTGCCCTGGCCAGGAGGCCCTGACCATGGCACTGGGCTCCCGGCCCTGCGTGAGCTGCAGGTGGACTGCACACACTTTGTGAACCAGCAGGGTTCTTGGCATTTCTATTTCATGTTTGTCATCTTTCATTCAGGAAAGAAATAGTGGACTCCACGGCCTGCAGCTGCAGCTGTGCAAAGTCTAATAGACCCGCTCAGTGTTCTGTGAGGTTGGGTCCGAGGGGGAGGCTGTGTCCTGCTGGACACAAGGAGTGATGTGACCCGTCCTGCTTCCAGGCAGGGGGCAAGAGTGCAGCGGCCCACACAAGGGATGGGGAGAGGTGTGGCAAGGGAGGCCAAAGACCCTCGTCTCCTGTTTCTCTGCCTCCCTCCTCACTCACCAACGTTATCCAAGTTAGGTGAGGCCCATGGGTGGGAACAGAGCACCGGGGAGTGGTGGGTGGGAACAGAGCACCGGGGAGTGGTGGGTGGGAACAGAACACCAGGCATTTTCATTCGACATGCTTGACGAGACAACTTCCTGTGCTTTGGTTTAAACCAAACCTTGAATCAATGATTCACAGTACTCACTCGTCTATGACACGAATGCTGGGTTTCCTTGATCACTGGCTGTTCCTGAAGGGTCATCCCTCCTTGGTCTCTTGGGGGACAAAGCTGGCAACAGGGGATCTGTCCCAGTGTATGGAACAGGTGGCAGGGGTCACCTCTGTCTGGAGCAGAAGATGCAGCCCATGGGGTCACCTCTGCCTGCAGCAGGAGACGCAGCCCTGTGGCCTCACCTCTACCACTCTGTCTGTCAGCTTCCTGGGCTGCTGTTTCTTCTTCTGCCTTCCTGCCCCATGGTGGGGAGAAGTGGCAGGCTTCGGAGAAAGCTGGTGCATCTGATGGCTTGTAAAGGGCTTTTTAACAGACCTGTCACTCCACCTCAGACCTGTCACTCCACCTCAGACCTGCCACTCCACCTCAGACCTGCCACTCCACCTCAGACCTGCCACTCCATCTCAGACCTGTCACTCCAGTCAGACCTGCCACTCCACCTCAGACCTGCCACTCCACCTCAGACCTGTCACTCCACCTCAGACCTGTCACTCCAGTCAGACCTGCCACTCCACCTCAGACCTGTCACTCTGACCTCAGACCTGTCAGTCCACCTCAGAATCAAGACTACCCGGGAATCCACATTTTCAGTTGGTCTCTCTCTAAATATATGTTTTCCAAGTAATTGGTGGAGGCCGCCAACAAGTGGCTATAAATAGGCATTGTGTGTACAAAAAGGAGGGAAACTAACCAAAAATATTCCCCCTCAGCCTGTGATTATGGTGATGAGCACGAAGCAGGGTGGCTGCCTGCTCCCTGGCCGGGGATGAAAGAAGATGGCTCCCACCCTGCAGCGCCAGCCCAGGCCTGGCCATGGGGCTCTGGAGCCAAGCCCCTCACCCCACGCTTCCTCCTCCAGCACATTTTTGGATGAGGATGAAATAACGCTGACTTCATCCTTCCTTTGCAGAGGGGTCCTGCCCCAGAGGCAGGCAGGATGGCTGTGTTGTGGTCCTGGCCCCTGTGGGTGGCCGGGTGCTGCTGCCTTCTGGAGCCCGGGAGCCCACGCTGGCTGGCAGCAGCCACAGTCATGGCATAGGCTACCAGAATGGCCACCATCATCCAAGGACAGTCCTGCATGGTTGCCAGTCTCCATGTATGCCACAGCCTTGCAGTGACAGCAATGGAGTCACCAGGCACTGCTTGCCACAGGGGAAAAAGCAAAACCTGGACACAGCTCTTCCCTGCCTGCCCCCGCCCTCCCAGCAGTGGCTGGCTGCCACTACGGAGGTTTGCAGTGGGGAGGAGCTGTGGCCATCTCCCAGGAGCTGAGCTTTCCAACACAAAACCTCTCTTCCCGGTGCAAATGAAAGCATCCCCAAACCAGACAGGCAGCAGAAATGGTTTCTGTGCTCTGTGACCGATTCAGGCAACAGAACATTACAAAAATGGGGAGATCTGATTTGGGGGAGGGTGGGCACTTCTACCTTCAGAAGGCCTACTGGATCCAAGAGACCCCTGAGTGCTCACGGCGGACACCC